CCTTTCCTTCTGACTTGTAATGTGAAGAGAGAGTGAGAAAGAGAGAGAGGAGACCCCCAAGCAGCCCTTTCAGAGGGCAGGGGCCTGGGTGCTGGTTGGTTTTAGCTCATGGAGGCAGGGAGGGGCAGAGAAGTGGCATTGGCGCGACTGGCTCCATGAGGCGGCAAGAGGAAGAGACCTCCAACAAGTTCTTCCAGCCAAACACCTGTTGGGAGTGCTCCCCTGCTCCATTGCGAGGAAGCCAGTGCCCCCTCAGCCTGTGGAGGTGGGCCAGTGACCTCCATCTCCTTGAGGTCATTTCTTTTTAATTCAATAAAACTTGTAAGAGTAATAAGAATAATATAAGTAATAGCGGCTAGAGCCTTTGTCCCGGCCGGGGGCGAGGGAGGAGCTGCGCTGCTCCAATGGCCTCCTGTGTGTTTGCTGTGTCCTTGTAAGCGTGTCGTAAGTGTCACACGTCTCACTCTTTCTCTCTCTCTCTCTCTTTTTCTCTCTCTACCCCTGCCCTGACCTGCGAGGTGATCCCGGATCCTGTTGGAGGGCAGTGATTTCACTGCAGATGTCTTTTTTCCCTTCAACTGGCCGGTGGGTGAGGCTGAATGGAGAACTGATGCCACAGGGGAAAGAGAGAGCAGGGTTGGTCTCTGCCACCATCAGCCCCATCGGCGCTCGCCAGGGAGAGAGAGAGGGAGCTGCATTCTCCTCCAGCCACTCAGTGGCACATGGGATTGGAAGCCATGACACACAGGTTGTTAGCCAAAGTGGACTCATTTTTAGGGCTAGTGAAAGCTTAACTTTAGTCGCCCCCTTCTCTGGTTGACGAGATGTGAAAGGAAAGTGCCCAGCTCTCCAGCACCACCTGAGAAAAGTTCACCCTCTCCTGTTCCTCCACCCAGCTACCAGACAACCCAACCCCAAACAGTCCAATCCCCAGTGTCTAAACCAACCCTGCTGCCCACCCAGGTACCAACCCTGCCTTCATGCCAGTGCAAGGTGCCCACCGCTCTGCCAGAACTGAGCTGCCCGTCCAAAGCCCCTTTGCCCACCTCCGAAGTCCGTCTTAGGTCCCAACCAACACCTACAGCCCCCTCCACTCAGGCAAAAACTAAGGGTGCTGTGTGCGATGGGGCAACTTCCTCTCCCTGTGTAGGAGCTAGGTTTGGCCACCCTTCTAAATCAGGTCATGGCACCCCAGCAGGACAATTAGATGTGAACTGGGAGTGCCATGGTGGGTCTGAAGTAGCAGGAGCCTACTTATAAGATCACTGTTTGGGACACCTCCCCATGGAGATCCATTCAGCCTAAGCATCACCCAGACCCTCCATGCCCACTGGGGAGGCAGTTCAGCATCAGGAACCACCTGCAGAATTGCCCAGGAACAAAAACAAGAAGCAGTTTCTGAGCCTGGGCATGGACAAGACAGAGACGGTGCTCTGAGAGTAGAAAGACAGGGATGCTGCCAAAACGGCAGCCAGGCCGGGAGATGACCAGCCTTCCTGCTTCTACCCTGCCCTATGATGAGGAGTTGAGCCTGAGCACAAGCATTCCAGAGACGCTGCCACACTACTACCTGCAGCACCCAATGCTGGAAGATGCTGGCTCTAGCCTTACTGTTGAATGACCTGCAGCCAAGGCTGCTGCCTCCTCTCCTCCAGCATGTGGTACTAGGGTTGTTTGGCATGTGCTGAGGCCCACTGCCCCTACAGCATCCCTTGCCAACCCCTGCATGATGCCCACCCTTGGCATTAAGTCCACAAACACCTCCCTGCCTAACAGGCCCCTCCCAGTCCCTGTGGAGCTGAAGTCAGTCACAGGATGCCTGTTCCAACTCCAGGGGGTAGATATCCCCTGCTATACAGCTAGCCAGGCTGTTGCTCATCCTATCTGCTGTCCAGGGGTGAAGGTGATGCTTGGCACTAGGAGCTACTGAGCAGCCAGTGACAGTCATGCCAGGCAAGTAACACTTGATTGAATGCCAGGGGCCAGTCTCCAAGAGCTGGCACTGGATTTGGTGGGCAGTGATAAAACCAGAGGGTATTGCAGGTCTGCCAAGTGCCCGCCAGATGGCGCCCTTGTACCATAGTCAGAGCTGCACTGGGGCACTGCATCAAGCCATCCTGAATGGGACAGGATTTAAATTTTTCTGTAATGAGATTTCAAGTCCATCCCATCTGGCAAGAAGGGTTGCTGGCCAGGCTCAGCCAGGCAGTGTCCCCGAGCCTTCCACCTTGCCAGCTGCCCTCAGATCTGAACAGGGAGCTGCTTACTGAATTCCCACCTGAGCAGACACAGCTCAGTTCCTCAGACTGTGTGAAAGGCAGGAGACCAAGCAGTACTAACCTGGCCTTTGCTTGCCCTCTGGCCAAGCTTTGCTCCTACGCAGCGGGTGGTGTGACATGGGTTATGGGATCCTGCAGCCCTGGCTCATGGAAGGAAGGGAGGCCCTTAAGAGAGAAACCCAGAGGGAAGAGAGATCCAGGAGAGAAGAGAGAAAGCCCTTGTGAGGAGAGGCCCAGGGCCCTGAATGGGTGGGCTGCATGGTGCCCTGGCAACAAAGACAGGATCAGAGTCCAGGGGCGGGTATTGCCATTGATACGTAGGGATATAGGAGCCAGGGGTGAGAACCTGGGGGTGTGGGGGAGAGGTCAGGGTTGTGCAGTGGAGTGATAACTGAGAGTAAAAGTGCCCAGTGGGGCTCTGGGGATGATAGGTAGGGGCAGAGGTCTTGGGGTAAGCATTGGGGCTGTCAGGTGGGGTAGGAGGCCTGGGAGAGTGCACTGAGGTTGATTAGTGGGGACAGCGGGTGTGGGGAGGGGCTCATAGGCTGATCTCTGGAGATGTGCCTGGCTGGCTGCTGGGGGAATGAGTGGGGGGGGTGAGATGAGTTATGGGGTGCTCAGGTGCTGGGGGGGCAGATAAATGTTTGAGCTGCCATGTGCCAAGTATGACCAGAGTACTAGTCAGTTGTGTCTCTTCCCCTTTCTCCATTGCCGCTCCCCACCCCCGCTGCCTCCCGATGTTGGCTGGATTCCAGCGGGAACTTCAGGAGCTGAACAGCCCTTGGCCCCATGGCCTGGGAGGACTGTGGAGGGATGCTTATAGCAACCAGTGCCTCACAGTGTCCAGACGCCATGGCTGGGATCTCAGTGGAGTTGCCAGGGTGAGGGGGAGCTTCCTCAGCCCTGCCTTTAGCAAAGTCCAGTCTGCCCCATGAGAGCCTCAGCACACTCTGGCCTGGCCAGGGGGTGAGACTCATGCAGGCGTGTTTCCCTGCATGACAGCAGCACCTTTTCAGTTTCCTAGTGAAGCTTTAGAGCCTCTTATGGCTGGGGAGATCAAGGCAAGAGGAAACACTGGGTCCATCCATGGTGGAGATCATTAATGCCAGTTTTCTTCTAGTTCCACCCTTGCTTCAGGCTTCAAGTTTTGACATTGTTATTCTCAAGTGGTCTCCAACTGTATGTGGCATGGAAATCACACTAGGTTTGTGGCTTGATCTCCTAGTGAGGGACAGCGCCAGGTACGTACTGTGCTCCTTTGCAATCTGGCAGCAGCCTCTGGTACTGCAGACCAAGAGGTGCAGTTGATCACAGCTAGGGCTAATGCGATGGCTCTTATGTGGCGCCTGGCAGTTGCTTGACTGACCCAAGAGCACACACAGGTAGGGCCCTGCAAAATTGCAATAGGTCACTCCTACTTAAATTTGTTACATGATGGGCCACCATGGTATCATTACATGGTTGACACAGCACTTTCTGTGACCCTACCAGTAAAGTCCTGTTTGGAAGTGCTTTCAGATCACTAGTCTTCCCTGAAATCTCAGACCTCGCTGGTAGCCTAACACATCTGTTATTCTTCTGCCTGTGGTAAGACAATTGGGGCCATCTCAATTGGACTTGGACAGGTTTTCTAGCATTTCTAGTCTCCAGACTGGGCTAGCGCAGTGCCATTTCTGTTGAATATCATCTGGACACTACCGCTGGGGTGAATATGGTTGCTTGCTTAATTAGCTAGGTTGGGCCCAATGAGAACACCACACTTGTTCTTCCAGATTCCTGGGGGCCCCTCAGTGTGATTCAGGGTGTTGACACTGATCTGTAACTCCCAACCTGGCCTAGACCTTGGCTCGCTGCCAGAACCGAGAACATTTCCTTGTGCACCATTGCGTCACTCCCAGGTCGCTCGTGAGCTGAGAACATCTTGGTTAGAATAAAGGGCATTCTCACTGGAGGGCGCTCAGAATTCACTTCCCTTTCCATCAACCCAGCAGAAACCAGGGCATTTCACCCTTTGGGCTTGATGCACAAACCATCTACTCTCTCAGGCCCTTCCTGAGTGGGGGTGGCTCTTAAGTGATGTACAGTAGTTAGCCTATTTTTAGGGAGTAAGAGTCTTCTATTCTGTTGATGTAGTTGCTGTGTGATGGTATTTTTTTCTAAATGATGTACAGGCGCCTAGTAACATTTGTGATAGGCACATTTTTACCAGTGTAACAATAAATAGGTGGGAAGGCTGGGAGAAGGCTCCAGGGTAATGCGGGGGAGAGAGCTCATTGGAAGGGTCGATGGGTTTTGCGTTCTTTCTTGTTCCCCCATGTTGTGGCATCACTTCTTCTCAGCTGAGCTATTTCTTCAAAGCCTAGAGGAAGTTTTGATAGATTTATTTATTGCTCGGGGGGGGCAGGAAGAAAAACCATTACCGAGAGAAAAAGATGGGGAGAAGCCATTTAGCCACCTGACCCATTAGGTGAAATAGTTACTGACTTACTAAAGAAATTAAAACCAAAACTGTATCGACACAGGCAGGGCAACCGCGTCTTTTTATTTTTTGTGCTCTGCCGCTCAAGCTCTCAGCCAATCAGATGCAAGGAAACTTTCCAGAGGGATTCTTTTTTGGAAAGGGGGACTTTCATGTCAAACACATTTGAAAATACGTAACTTCCTGTCTCAGTATTTGGTGTGATCTGTGGTTAAGCAAGAAGGTTTTTTTTCCCTTCGGTCTTTTTTTTTTTGCCTCTCCCTGAGCCTTCAGGAGAGTCAGAGCTAGAGCTAGTCAAACTATGTTATGAGTAATTTTTGGTCTAAAGTTAGCTGCTTTTTAGAGTTAGCCAATTGTTCATGAACTACATCCTCATAGCTTCTGAAGTATATGTTGCTCGTAAGGATTCACCATAGCTTGGATAATTAGCAGACTGCCTCAACTCCTCTCTGTTATTCGGTGTGTGTAATTGGTCACCTAAATCGCATGATAACTGTTTCTGCTTCACTGATTGGATGACCAAAATGCTTTCAAGAGAAGAAAAAAAATGAATAAATAAACTTCCTTGGATGTATTTCTGCACCACGCTGTGCTAAAATTGGCCTTTGACCAAACACAAATTATGGGTAATACAACACCATGAATCAGAGTGAGCTGAAATGGTCTCTGAGTCCCAAAAATATCCAAGAATCAGGGTTTGTTTTTTTCCAGTTCTACCAACTCCAGTCATAACTCTGCCACTGTGGCATCACTGGCTGAACTCATGCTTACAGTTGTGATGCCACAAGGTTGCTTTCACTGGACAGCGGAAAAAGCAAAGGGGCAGGCTTCTTATTCAAATCTCAAAGAGCCCTCACAATTAGGTCTAGGAAAAGCCACAGGGCTCTCCACTATGAATGAGAGACAGGCATGGAAATACAGGTCCCTAGTCCACTCACATACTTAAGCTCATGGGTAATTCTCAGCATGTGTGTAAATTCATGGGGGAAAGTGCATATGCTTAAAAGCTGGTTTGGCACCACAGTAGAAATAACAGTCACAAATCACGGAGGTATTCTGGGTCCAAAATAACCTTTATTGTCCCCATTTTCGTGCAAGGAACTTGTTTGGGATGTGATAGCAAAGGCCAGTTTTGCCCAGAGCCACAGTCACATCACAGCCAGCCTAAGCCCAGCCAATTGACTTTGGGAGTTAAAGTCATCATCTGTGGAGGAGTGAAAGTGAGATCAACGCTGGGGGCTGTGTGTCTTCAGAGAGTCACTGCTCAACTTGGGTCTGAACTATGACTCTGCAGCTCCCAAGAGTCTCAGTCAAACTGATTCAGCTCTTACCAGCACACCAGCCAACCCAGCCCATGCAGTCGGGATGAGGAACCGAGACTCCTGAATTCTATTTCCACTTCCACCGTGGATTCGCTGGATGACACTGAGCAAGTCACTGCACTCAGATACGACGCTGTTTCTTCCTCTGTAAAATGGGGATAACAACACTTATGATGTAGGGCTGGACTCATGAAATACAGAGAGATACTTTACAGCGAAGGGCCAGGTATAATCCATGCCACCAAAATCACGACATCTGTTCTTCCCTTGTCAGCCATGTGAAAAACATCACCTAATGCCCCAGGAAGATGTAACACTATGAAAGCAATCTGATTATGCACCAAACCGAAGTTTTGCCTGTGATTGAAAGTCCCTCTTCAAAGTGCTGGACAATCTTGACAGAAGTAATAATAATAATTTTAAGAATATTTGTATTTTTATCATATTCTCTCTTTTTTTATATAAAAGAGATTTATAAACCTGGTGGAGGAGGGGAACACAAGCTGAATTGCTTTAATCTGGACTGGCAATGGCAATGGTGGCTTTCACTGGCTCATGACGGGTTGGGTAGTGGCATAGAGGGCACAATATTCGCTATTCATTTAATCAGGCAGCAGGAGTCTTATGGTTAGAACAGAGGGGAGTAGGAGCCAGGATTCCCAGGATCTATTCTTGGCTCTGCCACTGACTTGCTGCATGACTTTGGGCAAGTCACTGAACCTTTCTGTGCCTCAGTTTCCCCGCTTGTAAAAACGGGGATAATAATTCTTCCCTACCTCACAGGGAGAGTTGTGAGGCAAATCTGATCAGCCCCAGACTCTGATCCCCTTACTCATGCTGAGTAGCTGCAGGAAGTCCCATTCCTTTCCACAGCATTTTTTTATGGGGTGAGGTGCTTATTCCACACAAGCTCCAAGAGAATCGGAATCTGGCCCCACATCCCGGCAAAGCCTTTGGAGATCCTTCAGTGAAAGACTCTGTAGACCTGCAAAACACCACTTTTGACCGAAAGGCCTCCTCACCCGCATTCCCCGTGGGTTATCAGCTGGGGACAACTGCCCTGCCCTTCCTCCCCCAGGAATGGTTTCTTTTGTATGATTGGATTTATGGGAGTTGTGTGTTCATTTTTAATTCTAGAGCTCTTAGCTGTATCTTGTTCAGGTATCTCTTCTTCATGTGATGATAACCATCTAACTGGTATAGAAAATACAGGAAAAAAGAAAAAAAAAAGACTAAACCGTAGACGACTTATTTGCTAGCGGCAGTGACAGCAGCTTGACTAGATCCTGCTGCCACCTCATTTCTGTCGTGTTTGGTTTTAAAAGATGTTAAATTCATTGGGCTGACGTATTTTATAATAAAACAAATGGAGAAAACACACACACACACACACACACAAATAAAAGGAGGAAAATTAACACTACTATTACATAAAAAGCCAATGTGATTTCATCATCTTGGATGTCTATGAGGTAGGAGCAATTTCTTTGCAGAATCATATTTTTGGAGAACTGGTCCCTCAATTTGTGGAGGAGGCCCCTGTTCTGAATAATAAAGGATAGTAAATAACTCCTGTCTCCGGGTTATTCATTATACACCTGCCAGGGAGGCAGGAGGATGAGGAGGCATCAGCCTGACAGCAATTTCAGCTGTCCACAGAATTGGTGACAAAGTCTGCCAGGACATGGCACAGCTATGTCAAAGAGATCGGAGAGGCTACACTATTAGGTGACCTAGAGTGCTGTGCAAAATCCACCTCCTTTCCACAGTAAGTATCAGCTAAGGCAAAGAGGAGTCAAACTTGTCCCTCTTCATAATAGTCCAGATCCAGATGCAGTGGCAGCGGCAGGGCAAGTGGTGGTGGCGGCACCAGGGTTAATAGCCATTGCTTGCCCCTCAGCATTATGCATCCCAAAGGGCTCTGTACCCTGGATTTTGGCAGCAGGCCCTGCCCCGACTCACCCCACCCCCAAATTCTCAGCACCTCTGAGAGCCCATGCACCAGAGAGACAGCTCCTCGTGCTGTACTTTTGACACACCTGAGCTAAAGGAACAGCTGTGGTACCAAGATGCAGTGGCCCTCTAGCTTAGACCCACTACCTCCCATAGATGGGCAAGATCAAGATGGGGAAGAGTCCCTGCCTGCCACTTCCTTACATTTTTAATGAATGTAAACTGCCCCCATTTTCAATAGCCCCCATTGATCTGGTTCCCTTGCTAACCAAGCTAGTTCCTCTGTGTTCCTATAGCATCTACCTGTCCATGCATCTGACCCCCGGCAGCCAGTCACCCTGCGGATGAAATATTGCCTTCACCCACACCTGCTGTAAACCTGCTGCTCTTTGGGTTTGTGAATAAGCTCCACACACTCACTCCTGCTCCTTGCTTGTCCACCCAGGAAATGAAGTGGTGAGGACACCCTAGGATGCAACCCCAGCACCATCCATAAGAACTGATTTTTTGACACAGGCCTCACCACAGGTGACATAGGGGTGGCCCATGCCCCACTCCCCAAGATTGTCTCCTAACTCAGCACCGCTCAGGACAGCAAACCGTGGCCCCGCATAGCTGGGCACAGAGGCCGTGACTCCTCCTGCAGGGCCTGTGGCAGCCACAGTTGACGTTTGGGCCCGCCCCCCCCCCCCCA